TGACACCCGTTTTGTAGAATAACCCCAAAAGTATCTGATTTCTCTGTGTTTGTGGATCTGGAGCAGTCCTGTATGACAGGGCGAGTACTAAACCCCACTGCTCCGCTTTGATGTCCAGTTGGTCTGCCAGACTGGAGCTCTGCAGAGCCAGAAATCCCTCTGGTTAGGTCGTCAGCTTTCTACTGAAGCCACAGGCGTGTGCCTGTCAGATCAACAATCTCCATCAAATCCCACTGCATGTCAGTCACATGGCAACTTCATTACGATTGGGAGGAAAAACCTGATATTTTGTTTCTCCAAGAAAAACCTGGATTTATGTTTCTTCCACTTTGTCCTAATAAAAATGATATAATGCATTTGTGTCAGAATTCTGGAGACCAGTTCATTCTACTAGACCACAAATCAACAGTAAACTTTCATGTGATCCTAAAAACTAAATATTACTGAAATCCGGAGAGGAACTGCAAACATACAACCAAAATGAAGCTAAATAGGGTGACTTGCAGGAGTCTTAGAAGTTCAGCAATAATATATGGTTTTGTATACTCCATAAATCTGGCGATATCCATTTTTTTTACCGTTGCGCGCTTTAGTAGGCTACTGACTGTTGTTTATACTCTCAAGTCACTCAGACACTACCAGACACTCATTCAAACATTGATTCATTCTCAACTGTCACTGATTGTGGTAATTTAAGACTTTGTTCATCTGGTTCACAGTCAAACCTTTGTTTGAACACACTTGTGTACAGTTTCAGATATGTGTCTGCTGTGCCACAGACACATTGGTCAAGATGTGATTAGGATGTCGGAAAGCTGTAATACCTCCATCTGGTGGACATGTTCTGCAACTGCAATAAACAAGAGGGTGATGAAATAATGACATAAAATGTGGACCCCGCCCCCCTTATTTTTGCTACAATTAGTAAATTAGAATTAGAATTTTTTAATACTAAGTGTCAGCTATAGTTATACTTTACAGAAAATGCAGCTGCTAAGATTGTTATAGAAAATAAAGGTTTTGTGTAAAATAGCCTCTTTGCGCTTGCGCCCCTGAAGTGCCTTCAAATATTCAACATTATTCAATGTGTTGACGTCATTTCCAATGAAACAGGAAGACAGGATGGGACATATCGAACAGCTCCTCCCCTTTTTTTAAAATAGCCAATAGCGTCTCGTTTCTGTCACAGCTCGACCAGAGCCGTTGAGCTCGGAAAAGCCACAGTTTCCTCCTAATCTCTAACCGTTTCTCCTGTTAATCTCCATATCGCTTTAAAATACAACATTCAAATCCGATGCGTTTTGTGGTCTGCGCCGACTCATGCATGTGATCCACTCTGTGTATCGTGTCTCTGGACCAGAGCAGTGTGTGCGCTCCAGGGATTCACGTGACACAAACGTGAAACCAGACTTGATTCGCCCCAATGAAAGCATTTTTACACTGTCTGAATCGTTCCCTATACCCTATAGTGCACTATGTGCCATGTAGAAAATAATAAATGTGTGAACAAGTGACCAATTTTAGCCACAGCATCTATTTGGGGGCAGGACGCTTTAGATCTAGAGAGCATTTGATTGGACAGAATATCTGAAGAGAAGCTGAAGTGCAGAGTGATGTCATCAAAATCATTTATCCATATTTGCGGTAGTGAGAGAGTTTTGAATGCTTATATCTTCTAAATGTTGTCGTAGTTTTGGAGCACACTAGCTTATAGATAACAGTAAGACTAACATATTCATGCTAAAAGCCAAAAAACGTCAATTTTGATTTCATGGGAACTTTAAATTTGATTTCAATGGTGATTTCAACAAAACATTAATGATATTTGCGAGACTTTACAGTGAAATCCCAAATTTGTTCTGTTTTTCACACAAAACTCACAATATAGTTCAACAAATATGTATGAAGCACTGCTGTCACTTTTAAACCAACCAGATTTATGTTTGTCAGTGTGTCAACTTGCGTAACCAACTTGAAAATGAACAAAACCTGCGTGCAGATCTCTTTCGCCCTCACGCGAAACTCACGAAAGCGCGGATGAAAGTGATTGAATGCCCACGAAATTCAAAATTCACAGTCCAACTGTAAATGTAACCACACATTCATTATATGGATAAGATAACAGCAGCAGAGCTAGTACATTCACATACTTAGATTTCCTCGTTTCATGGTACGTTCTTAGAAATAAAGGCTCCAAAAGAGGGGTTCCCCAAAAAAACAGTTCATAAAAGAACCATTTTCTTAGTGTGAAGAATATTGTAATAATCTAAAGAACCTTTTGTGCAATGAAAAGGAATGAAAAGCTTCTTCAACATTAGATGCCAATAAAGAAACTTTACGTTTTAAGAGTGTAGAAAAAAAGAATACTACGTTTGAATGACGACATTTTTATTTGTAGGTTAATTATTCCTTTAAAAAGTCATTCCCAAATTGAAGCATGGACTAGAGAGAGACAGTGAGCCCGTCTATAGGGTCTCCTCCTTAAGGACTTGTGAATCACTCGAGTCTGTACAAAAAGATTAGAGTTACAGCCCTGAACCAGAGTGAGACATGTTTGACATTAATGCCGCATTGTATATTATCAGAAACGCTGAATGTGGACGCAGAGATCCAAGGCGGAGAATGTTTAAGGACTAATTACGAACCAGCGAGGCACAAGTCCTATAGCATATTTTCTTACTTGTGTGGAAAAATATAGCAGGCTCCATTTATTTTTCTGCACTGTTATTTCTGGATGGCTCCTGCTTCGGGTAAATAGTCCCGTTCCCTATTGTAAATCTGACGGGCACAGGTCTTCGGAGACTTTTGAGGCTCTTTTAAGGAAAAATAGAGACAGGCTTGGATGGCTTTTGGCCATAATGAGAGAGTGGAAGCAAAGGGAGAGCTTTGATCCATGGCCTGTAAGCTCATGTTTAAATCTGTTAGCAGAAATCACTCATCTTTGCTCGAGGATGAAACGACCAGATCAAAGTAGCTTTCTTCGCATTTAATGGACAATGAAAGCCAGTTTAGATGTTGGTGACATAGCTACCATCAGCTAACGTAAAGGCTCTATCAACACGTTAAGTAAATATATATATATATGTGTGTGTGTGTATGTATATATTTATTATGTATCTAGGTAGACAGACAGTGCAATGACATCCATACATTTTCTGAGTGGCTTAAGTGTCCAAAAACACTCAGAATGATCCAGAAACGTAACCGCACAATTAGCACTCATCATTCAATTACAATAAATATCCATTTCCTTAGAAACGGCTCCATAAACCGGTATCAATTAGCAAAAACGTGTGCGCAGGGAAAAAGAAATAATGCAAGTCAAACTGTGAAAATATTATTTTATTCATAGAGCTTCACTCGGAATAGGCCTCTCTGGCGCCACACTCTCATTTCATATCAAACGCTTGTCCAAACCACACAAGAGCAGGAGCTCCACAAGGACCTATCATGGGCCCTGTGCTATTCCAGCAGTGCTAAGTGGAGAGGAGGAGACCTGGATGAACGCCCGATCAGATTTCCTTATTCTCCGTTTCGCTGGACCGCTGTGTGTCGTGAATCTCCTTTCCACCTCAGCTCGTTAATTTCCCATAAACGGAGTTGTGAATAAATATTTAAGTATGATATATCCAGCGTTGATTGATGTTAAACACTTTGAGATAAGCCAACAAGAATTGAGAAGACAAAATGATATGAGTTGTGAGGAATAACAGAGGAAAGTCTGAACAACTTGTACTTTACAAAGAAATTACACGAGGCAATAAAGAATTGAGGATTTTCTGTAAACCGTTTGCGGAAACTCTGTTAGTGGCTCTCAATGTGTAATAAAAGAGCAGGATATTTAGCTAGAAACGATCATACTGTATTTGCCACACTGTATTTCTTCTAATGAAGGCACATATTAAATTAGATCCTCATTAAATCAGAATTCATTTAGTGCCCATTCAGGAAACAAAAACCTATGAAACATGTACAAAAACTAGGAATTATATTTAGTTAACTTTGAAGTTTATCCTGCAGCTCACATTTGATCTTTTAATGCATTATACACAAATATAATAAAAACATAATGGAATGCAATATTGTAAAACCAAAACAAAGTGAACAGGGTTTTTTCAACTGCCATGGTCCTTGAGTACTGTGACAATGCAGATTAAACAAAAAACGTTTACACTAACATTTGAAAGTTTAAGGGTTAGTAAGATTTTTTTAAAGAAATGAACACTTTCATTCAGCAAGAATCAATTAAATTGATCAAAAGTAACAGTAAAGACTTTTACATTGTTAAAAAGCATTTCTTTTTCTAATAAATTCTACTGAACTTTCCATTCATCAAATAATCCAGAAAACAGAAGCAGCACAACTGTTTTTAACGTTGATGATAATAAGAAATATTTCTTGAGCATCAAATCATATTATAATGATTTCTGAAGGATTATGTTATATTATAGTGAAAATTCTGCTTTGGAATTACAGGAATAAATTATATTTAAAAAATATAATAAAATAGAAAAAACTTTTATAAATGGTAATAATATTTCACAATATTACTGCTTTTACTGTATTTTTGATCAAATAAATGCAGCCTAGGTGAACATAAAAACATTTTGAAAAATCTTACCAACCTCAAGATTTTGAACGGCAGTGTATCTATCAAAACTATTTTGGATTACATATTTGTATTTCTGATTTTTCTTCAAGTTTAAATCTACATGAATGATTATGTTTGGGGCTGAGGGTATGATGATGTGTTCTATTAAATATTCCAGGGATCATCTTTTGATTCATTCTGATGCAGTGGAACATGTTTTGTCCCATATCTCAAGAATCAGTGCATGATATGATACACAGAATTAAACAATAGGAAGAACTGTTGTCTATGCTGAGAGAGAGAACAACAGAAAAACAGTAATATCCAGTCTCTTTAAATAGAGACAACAGCAAAGTTGCTTAGGATGATGTTTATATGAGCAACAGATCAGTGAGAGCTTGTAAGTATCGGAGGATATTTTGGATTCACATTTGAGTCACTGAACTCAGGCAAATGAGGTGTTCATAATTACTGTATATCAGAGAACAAAGGATGATTGATTACCAGAGCCCTGGATGAAAAACTACTAACTTGTAGTTGGGGATCAATAGTTTCGAATTACATGGAAAACATCAACTCTTCCTCAAGAAAACATCCCCAGGTCTGGTTGTGTCGAATTTATTCATCAGTTTACTTGGCTAGCCTCTTAGCCACGTCCTGATATGCCAACTCGATCTCGCTGTCTGCGGCTCGCGTGTTGATGAACTCTTCTTGTGCATACGCACTGTTCAGATAACGCCACACTCCTGTCAAATCGCTGGGAATGTCATAGTTACGATATTTCTTGGCAACCACCTGCAGACAAAAATGGATGGAAAAACATGAATGAAAATAATTCCATTTAAAAAGAAATGTAACCTGCTTTTCATTTGTCTTGTTTATGCACTGCTGTCGCTGAGAGGCCTGTTCACACTAAGAACGATAACTATAATCAGAGAAGGACTTTGCTATAATAGAGTCCACAACAGCGGACAATATCGTTCTGTTTATTCTAAGCACGCGCTGCAGTTTTGTCGTCTGCCGCTTTAAATGCTCGAGCTTGTTAAAGTCAGGTGGTTTCTGATTGGCTGTCAATGTTTTTATCCTTCATTAACTGAAAAACAATATCTTCCTTTGTGTTCAGCAGAAGAAAGAAACTCACACAGGTTTGGAACAACATGAGGGTGAGTAAATATGACAGGATTTTCATTTTAAAGCGAACTATTCCCATTATTCCTTTATGGGTTTTGCTCATGGTTTTGCTGGTAGCATGGCCCCCTGCTGGTATAAACCATAACTACACCATATGGCAGCAAACAGCATCTTCTCCATGAGTCCAACTTTCCCCCAAAACTGCCATTGAGATGAATGAGAATGCTAACGGATAGCTCTCTCCGGGTATTGCAGACCGCCTTGGGTAACCCCCCAAAAACTGCAGGCCAACTGCTAGTGTCAAGTCCCCTTCAGCGGCTCGGCTCACCTTCACTATGTGGAGCTTTGGCAGCAGGTTGCAGTCTGCCAGAGTCAGATCGTTCCCATCCAGGAACTTGCGGTTGGAGGCCTTCTCCTCCTCCATGCTGTCGGCATCTACCTCATCAGGCAAGGGACTGTTCAGGTAGTCGTCCAGCTTCTTGAGTGCCTTTGTCAAACCCTTCTCCAGAGCTAACAAAACAGCACATAATAACCAGTATGTTTTTGCACGGTATTTGATTGTGAATGGTCGAATCAGTTGCCAAACATAGGGTAACGGGACTAAAGGCACATCGCGGTAAAAGGCGTATTCTCTTTTATGGCACAAAAATTCAGCTCAGCTGAAATCTCAAATTTGGCTGATCCATGACGCGATCACCGACACCAACGCAAAGTTGATTCTTAGCTAATTTGATCAGATATTTAATGTTTTTTATAATCTTGTAGATTTATGTAGCAAATGAGAACCGATACAATTACCGGTATTGACCATATTTTGAGACAAAGGTCTTGTTAATGATTTTGAGTTTTGTTCAAGCCAAGGTAATTAAAGTAACGGTAATTATGGTATTTAAGTTTATCAATGATGGAGGAATATGTAAAAGTATGGTATTTGGGGTAAAAGGCGCCCCTGCTCACATATTAAACACATTTCAATTTTGCCCCATGCTGGTTTCACCCTGTGTGTGGAGTAACAGGCCCACCTTGCCATCTTACTTTTGAGATTTTTAAACAAACCACTTTAATGATTTATTTTCACACAATATATATATGCATATATGGGTGATCATATGTCAATATAATCTTTTTTTTAATATATATTGGTGATATTCTGATTAGTTTGATATTGGAAGCACTTTTTTTCAATAATATAATATTAATACCAAATATGATGTTTAATATTACATACACTACCGTTCAAAAGTCTGGGTAAATAATCCAATAATCCTTTTTTATGTTTTTGAAAAATAATTATTTTATGCTCACCAAGGCTCCATTAATTGATCAAAAATACAGTAAAACCTGCAATAATGTGAAAAATCGTTACAATTTAAAATAAGTGCTTTCTATTTTAATATATTTTAAAATGTAATTTATTTCATTTCATATTATTATCAATATAGAAAACAGTTATGCTTAATATTTTTGTGGAAACCATTCAGGATTCTTTGATGATTAGAAAGTTCAGCATTTATTTGAAATAGAAATCTTTTGTAACCTTATAAATGCCTCACTTTTGATCTATTTAATTCATCTTGCTGAATAGAAGTATTATTTTCTTTTAAAAAAAAATGTACTGACCCCTAACATTTGAACGGTAGTGTGAATATAATATGTGAATATAAATATAATACTCTTATATTTAATATTATTAATGTTTTATTATTATTATTTAAAAAATATTTTCTTTGGCTGCCAGGTTCCATATGTACGTCGTTTAAATACTGGCAAAACTCCAAATATTTATATCAGTCATCATTGGTTATCGTCTATCAACCACAACAAAAAATAGTTATAATTTCAGCCAAAATGTCTATTTTGGCACATTCCTACTGAAAACGTAGCCACTCTAAAAAGTGAACACTATTCATAATGTAATGCTAAAATACGTAGGATGTTTACAGCACTATTGATTCCATATAGAGTTAACCGAATTTAACTTTTCCCTGTTTCAGTGTACTGACCAAAACACAATATATCCATTCATTCATTCAATCAGTTTGATCCAGTTTGACATGCATACCTTCATTCGCATCTGGCTTTGTGTTTTTAATGAAAGCTGAGAACTTTGCAAATATGTTATTCCCAGCTGTGTTTGACTCCCTGTGCCTGGCTGCAAGTTTGGGGTACCTTGGACACAAGGAAAGGTACATAGAAAAACATGTGTCAGTATTCTTTACAGTTCTAGTTCACAGTGGTTTAATGTGATGTTTAATACAATATACATTGCAAAGGGGGAAAAAAAATATTCTTGGAAGTCTAGAGCTGCGGTTCTTAACTGGTGGGTTGTGACCTAAAAATGGGTCATAGGCCATGAAAAAAAATGATAAATAAAATAAATAATATAAAAATAATGATAACTTGTCCCATTAAGTGATGCTGTGCCTGTGATGCTAGCTATGCCATTCTTAGTCATATAAATAGATTTGAATGTTTGATGTTTGTTTACTTTAGTATACAATTTTGGTGCTTTGTTTGACTGTGATTGATGTCCAATGCAAAATCTGGGTCCTGAAGCAAAACCAGTTGAGAAGAACCACAGGTTTAGAGTTTCTATAGTGTATTTGTAAAAGTGAGCTTACTTCGGTGGTGCCAAAACCTCCTCCAGGAACTCCTCGATCTTGTTAATGTCTGTCTTCAGCTCACCGTTATAGGTCAGGAAAGGAGGGTGAGTGCCTGGAGCCAAATTGTGCAAATCAGCTGGTTTCCTGAACAACAACAAAAATTATATATTTTATTAATTTCTTAATGTCATTACTCAACCAGCTCTTGCATTGCAGAAAAAAATGTAGGTCGATTCTTTTTCATTTTCGTATTGGCAATGAATAAAATTCTGAACTATATTTGACTTATATTTCTCAAATATAATAATCCAGTTTTCCTGTCAAAGCTCAAACCAATGTTTAATAATCTAAAACTGACTGCAAATACTGTAATAACTTTTTTTTTTAGATTTAATATCCAATAGAAATGTCAACACGTGGCATTTGTTACTGACATTTATTTAATATAATAATGTAGATTTCTTGTCATTAGATATATCAGACGGATAAAGTCCTCACCTCTTGAGGTCGACGGTGGTGACGTTGAAGACTACACCTTTGAGCCAGAGGATCATGAAGAGGCGTTGGGAGAACGGACAGTTTCCGATGCTCTCGCCATCACAACCAGCCTGCAAACACAAAGACACATCTTTACATATACATCACCTCCAGGAATCAGTAAGTCTTCATTTATCTTAACATGTCTGAGACCAGTCCTCATGTTCGAGAGGGAAGAGACTGGACTGAGAATGATAAAGTGTCATAGCGCCCCCTGCTGCTGCTTTAATGATTTGATGGACGTTACCCTGAAGTCAAACTACAAGGACATTTTCAAGTAAAATAATCGCTAAATGTTGTCAGATAAACCCTATGGGTAACACTTTACATATAATGCACTATAAAATATTTATAATGCCTTGTAATGCACCTTATAATGCATTGCATGCTCTCATGAATAATTGTAACCACAGTTACAATACATTATAATACTTATTATTATAATTATAATTAAACACACCTTTAGAAAGTATAATGTATTAAAACACATGACAAACAACCAATTTCAAATTGGTTTTTCAAATATTATAATACATTTTTAATTTTGGTTACAATTATTTATGAAAATATAGAATGAAAGTGACATGTGGAGTGACAAGTGACATTATAATGCATTATAACGTACATTTTGAATACCTATATAATGCATTATACATGAAGGCTTTAAAGTAGTGTTAACAAGCGGTAAACGATTTCTTAAAAACACTTGATATTTGAAATCAACCCAAACAAACACACACCCCTCCCTTCATTGCGCCGCCCCCAAAACGCACAGACATGCAATGCAAGATTGGGTGTCTTAAAGGGATAGTTCACTTTGAAATTATTTTTTTGTATGTTTTAGCTTACCTCAAGGGCATCCAAGATGTAGGTGTCTTTGTTTCCGCAGTAGTTTTAATTTTGATATTTTTAGGTCAAACCGTTCTTGTCTGTCAGTCATATAATGCAGGTCTATGGTCACTTCCTCAAAGAGCATGCACAGAAAAGTCCAAATTAAACATGATTTAATGACTCGTAAATGTAAGTACACATTGATGGCCGAAGACACGAAACGAGCGGTTTGTGTGAGAAAACGAACAGTATTTATATCGTTTTTACCTCTTGTAAACACAGCCACGTCCAAGTGATCTGAGGGCGCGGGCGCTTCGGTCTGCGCAAGCGCCGGAAGTGATCTCTCGCGCGTGTACGTCACTCATTGTTTACACAGAACAGAGATTGTAGGTAAGACGGCTAATTAAAATGGTACTAATTTGCTCTTATCCGGGATGTTTAAACCGTCGTAAAATTTTAATTAGCCGTCTTACTTACAATCTCTGTTCTGTGTAAACAATGAGTGACGTACACGCGCGAGAGATCACTTCCGGCGCTTGCGCAGACCGAGGTGGTGACCATAGACCTGCTTTATATGACTGACAGACAAGAACGGTTTGACCTAAAAATATCAAAATTGAAACTACTGCGGAAACAAAGACACCTACATCTTGGATGCCCTTGAGGTAAGCTAAAACACACCAAAAATTAATTTCAAAGTGAACTATCTCTTTAATGGATGGATGTCTGAAGTGAGGCAAAATAATACTTAGATGATGAAAAAAAAATACTATGAAGAACAAAAAATGAAGAAGGTACACAAGAGTATATTGATGAGTTTCCCCCATATGTAAAAGCGCTTTGAGTACCTAGAAAAGCTCTTTATTAATGTAACGAATTATTATTATTATATTATATACAAGCAAGAGTTGGTTTTTAATCGCCCGCAGCACCGCAGCAGCTCCAGACAAACAATGACACTCAAAACTGTCCTGTTACTATAGCTAACATTACTACAACAGCATATATTTGGTTATGTGAATTATATCAAAACCAATGTTACTCGCATGTGGAGCAGAAACAACGCAACCTCAGCGGCCGTTTTCAGGCCTTCCCGCTTAGGCTCTCTCCAGTTCGGGAAAGCCTTTCTAATATTAACTCGGTCCTAAAGCACTTGCCTGATCATAACCCTTCTTTTGCCAGTGATATTCCTCTGAGCTTTTCTCTTTTGTAATGTCTCTTATCCTCTTTCTTCAAATCTCCCTCTTGCTCACTCTCTCTCTCTCCTCCCCCATCATGAGTGGACACGCCCCCTACTGCTGATTGGCTACAAGTGTGTTGTGGTGCTCAGTCCGATCCACTTTCAACAGCGTTTCTCAGAAATATATATTTCATTCTCATAAATCGCTTAATACATGTTAATATACAGTATGAATGCCTAAATCTCTGAAGACACTGACATTTCCAATAAGTGCAATGTATTGCAGGTGAGCTGTGTTCTTTATTATTTCTTTATTATTGTTATTTTCTTTCTTAATAGTTCTTTCTTATTATTATTATTCCGCTCAAGAACTCAGTGTTTTGTGATATTATTTTGTAAAATGGTACAGATACTTGTGGTTTGGTGGGATTTTGCTAAAACCATGAAATTATTAAGGATAAATAATTCAACCTGATTCATTCAGTTACAGGTCAGGGAGATAAAAAAAAGTAATTAAGTTAATATTGTACTTTAGTTTAACACCTTAGATTGCCGCCATTGACCTCACAGAGGTCGCAGTCTGGACGCCACGAAATTGGGGCATGCACCAGGAGCAATTGTGCTTATGCTCATTTTAAAATCAATATCAAATTAGTTACACTAATTTACCTTATTCAGTGATTTACGCTATATTTCCTCATAATGAAGTGTATAAATGACCCTGGTTTTTACTATGCCTGACAGTGCATTGAAAAATGTTTTCACACTGCTACTGTACACTCACCGGCCACTTTATTAGGTACACCTGTCCAACTGCTCGTTAACACTTAATTTCTGAGCAGCCAATCACATGGCGGCAACTCAGTGCATTTAGGCATGTAGACATGGTCAAGACAATCTCCTGCAGTTCAAACCGAGCATCAGTATGGGGAAGAAAGGTGATTTGAGTGACTTTGAACGTGGCATGATTGTTGGTGCCAGAAGGGCTGGTCTGAGTATTTCAGAAACTGCTAATCTACTGGGATTTTCACGCACAACCATCTCTAGGGTTTACAGAGAATGGTCCGAAAAAGAAAAAACATCCAGTGAGCGGCAGTTCTGTGGGCGGAAATGCCTTGTTGATGCCAGAGGTCAGAGGAGAATGGCCAGACTGGTTCGAGCTGATAGAAGGGCAACAGTGACTGAAATAACCACTCGTTACAACCGAGGTATGCAGCAAAGCATTTGTGAAGCCACAACACGCACAACCTTGAGGCGGATGGGCTACAACAGCAGAAGACTCCACCGGGTACCACTCATCTCCACTACAAATAGGAAAAAGAGGCTACAATTTGCAAGAGCTCACCAAAATTGAACAGTTGAAGACTGGAAAAATGTTGCCTGGTCTGATGAGTCTCGATTTCTGTTGAGACATTCAGATGTTAGAGTCAGAATTTGGCGTAAACAGAATGAGAACATGGAACCATCATGCCTTGTTACCACTGTGCAGGCTGGTGGTGGTGGTGTAATGGTGTGGGGGATGTTTTCCTGGCACACTTTAGGCCCCTTAGTGCCAATTGGGCATCGTTTAAATGCCACGGCCTACCTGAGCATTGTTTCTGACCATGTCCATCCCTTTATGGCCACCATGTACCCATCCTCTGATGGCTACTTCCACCATGTCACAAAGCTCTAATCATTTCAAATTGGTTTCTTGAACATGACAATGAGTTCACTGTACTAAAATGGCCTCCACAGTCACCAGATCTCAACCCAATAGAGCATCTTTGGGATGTGGTGGAACGGGAGATTCGCATCATGGATGTGCAGCCGACAAATCTGCGGCAACTGTGTGATGCCATCATGTCAATATGGACCAAACTCCCTGAGGAATGCTTCCAGCACCTTGTTGAATCTATGCCACGAAGAATTGAGGCAGTTCTGAAGGCAAAAGGGGGTCCAACCCGTTACTAGCATGGGGTACCTAATAAAGTGGCCGGTGAGTGTACGTCTCTGCAGTCGAGGAGATCAGGTGTCCCAAAACAGCGGCAACACTAGTACGAGACCAGCTATAGCTTACACTGTGACACAATACCCAGCACAATATGAATTATGCACACTGCATTCATTAACCGCGGTCCTGGCAGTGAGAAGAACATGAGGAGCGTGCTGTCAAATATATAATAGGTACACGGACACCACTAGTGAAAATACTTCTGTTGCATCTTTTCTAAATTAACAGAGTTTGTTTTCATTACCAGGTTCGAGAGAAATCATGAGAGACAATGCATTGCATAACAAAGTCAGATAAATGAGGCAGATGGTATTTGAAAGGTCAGGACACTTCCAGTTCCACTCATCTGTCCATTCTGGCAAATTCAGAACAGAGAGACGACTGGAAGCAGGACAATGAGCGGCTACGATCTGGAAAGTGCGGAACAATAGGCCGGTTTGCTATAGGACCGGTTGCTCTGTTGGGCAGCAGTTCAGGGCTGTAAACAGAACGGGGTGTGACTGACTGACTGACAATGCCTTGTGTTCAGTATTTATGCTGTTAAATGCAAAGGATTAGTGCGTGTAAAAGGATTTGTTTGTTTCGAACATTTTATTTTTTCAATGATTTAAGTTGCTTCAGTATGACTGCCATTGGCACATGAGATGCATTCTCCAATTTAATCATTTGACTTTCATCATAACTGAAGCGTGTAATGCTTTGTCAGTGTTTGTCATATGTTTGCTCTCTCATAAGTGACTTTGCAGAGGCTATCTATGAAACAAAACGTATTATCTTTTGATTATTTTCCCCATTATGTTCAGATCTAATAAGCTTGTTGCATTATGTGCAATGATGGACATCACTTTTAAAAACTGTATTTATTTTGTATTTGTGTGCAATGAAAACAAATTGTATTCTAATAATGGTATGTATACCTTTATTTTGTGTTAGGCCCACAATCACAAAAACTAGGTGTCCACGATATATCGGTATCATATTGGTTATTGGACAATATTATTATATTTAATAATAGTTTTATATTTTTATAATCTATTGGTATCAGTCAATATTAAATAAGTCTTGACCAATTTTGGATATTTAATTCATGCTTATTTCCTTCATCAATGTATCTTGAATCTTTAAAACACTAATAATGATAATGAATTTAATAAGACTGTTAAATGAAATATATAGCAAATCCATTTTTCTTACTGTACATTATATATGTTGTGTCACTTTTAGCATTTAAAAGCAGATTTTAGTTTTCAGTGTTTTATTTTTAATTAGTATAAAATGGTTTATTTAGACAAAACAGTATCATTTATTAGCCACTTATTAGCTTATTGGTACAGGTCAAATTTTTTATATCAGTGCATCTCTACCAAAAACATCAGAATGCGAATTATTGAGGGTATATTCTTTTAACACCACCTTTATAAGCAACCGATAATCTATAAACCAATGTGCGAGAACTACTGGCATTCAAACATCACTCTACTTACAACCCTAGTCAAATATGCACATGTTACTCTAGAACAACTATTGAGTTACACTGACATCATGAGAGCTTCATAACTTTACTTCTGCATACTCTAATGCTAGATATATTTTCCTTACCTTGACAAATAACTCAATGTCAGGTTCTTGACCGTCTCCCATTGTAGACACTTTCTTTGACTCAAGTACCTCTTCTGATCTGTCCCCTACATCCTCCCAGCAGTATTTTGCTAATATTTCGGGTTAAATGTCAACGTTCATCCACGCTCACTCAAATTCAGTTTGTTCTGCTCTTGATGGGCATCTAATGGCACCAGGTGCTGTAATGTCACCTCGAGCCCAGATGAAAGGTGAATCTAGCTCTCTCCCAAACAGGGATGATGTAAAAGAGAGGGAATAGGTGAGAGGCTTTAGTTGGGGGTGGAGCTTTACTTTGCCCCGCCCCTGACACAAATAACTCTGATGAGCTTGAGTGACAGATGAGAATAAACCAGAACTGTAACTATGATGTTGAGAGATGACCTTGAAACATGGAGATTCACGTTTCTGATTCAGTATTCGTCCGTGCACATATATTACATGTAAACACAGACAATTCATGAATTTCTTATCAAAAAGATTTAGCCCTATAAATAAGTTTCTTTTTAGAGTCTCGGCCACTAAACTCGTGCGCCATCTTGTCTCTGTATAACTAGGCCTATATGACATGTTCATGGCCCAGAAACTCAAGAGTAGAGGAATGAGCCGCATGCATTTTTAATGCAGTCCAAGTCACAGGCAGTGCGCTGGCAGGCAACGGCAGGTTATATTTGATCATCTTCTGGAGCCCAGGAGCATAAGATTCCCTGTTAAATATTTTATGAGCTGGCTTTGGTTTATACCATGAATTCGCGTTCAAAGTTTTCGGACATGACTGATATGAACCTGTGAAATGAAGATTACTCATTTGGTTTCTTAAAATATATAATGGTGTTTAGGGAGTCAGATAGTCAGGAGGGGGGGGGTAGGGGGGGGTAGGTGGGGGGGTAGTACATACAGTATAGATATACAATACTATAGTAATGAACGCAACTTTCATGCGCAATTGATTGATGGATAAACTGCTCCTACTTCAGTGTTGCACGTCCATGAATGAGCAGGGTTTTATAGCGTATTTAATTCAACAGCTCTGGTAAACTTAATCATATATCCCATTTCAGGGGGGGCCAAAATTATGATTTAAAATCAGTCAAAGCTAGAAACATATCTTCATATTTACTGGCAAAGCTTCATGTTAAATGAAAATCCCGCCTCTCTGACTCCCCGAACGCCATTATATATTTTGGAAGAAATTACTACATTCATGCTACAGTCAGTGTAGGATGCAGTTGTTAGCGGTGGATGATTTTCCTCCTTTTTGAAATATACTGTCTATATATATACTGTAAATATATGAATGACTAATCATAGCAACTAACAATGCTTGCTTCAGTGTTGTTGTAAATTAAACCTGACGCATGAAAGACTACAGTGGCTTTACATACAGTAAATTCCCAGTAAAATATATTTTGCTAAAAACGTTTTGAAGTAGAAGCAAATGGATTTCATTTACTAGTAATTCAAATGCCCTTTAACCACAGGTTACATCACTGATGATGTGTCCGAGTGCATTATAAGATCACCTTTCACCTTAGATGAGTTGGAATATGAATTAAATAATGTCAGTGAATGAAGCTCCAACATGAGTCTCTTTTTTCATGGCTCAGTTCCCAACAGGTTCAGTGTAATCACTGCAGTGAATAATTAACTTCTGCATGGTGCACATTTGGCTGAGCCAAAGTCCTCTAAGAGTTTTAAAATATATTTCTTAAATGTTCAAGGTCACACTTCAGGAATTGTTTACCGCCTGATAAACATTGTTTAATCAAAGTTGCAATTGTGTGGAAGAGTCTGCTTATCTATATCTGATTATCACATTGCTGCTGCTACACATTTAAAAAATGGCCACTAATGTCACATGTTTTTTTATATGAACAGAGTTAAGTTAGCCTGGTTAAAACCAGACCATTCTCAGTTGTAACTGAGTTATGGTCTGGCAAAGCGTCATAGACAAATCATTTCCAGAGGGGCGTCACCAACGGACGTCGCGGATAGAGCTAAACCCAATCAGAGCGATGAAGGAGATGACGTATGCAGAGCGGCGGAGAAACGTCTCCGAGTGTTGTTCTTTGCTCGGTTTTTAACAAAAAGGAAACGTTCAAATCGCTTAAAACAGACGTGATAGCTGATTCGAACGAGTGATGTTCGACGGCGGCATCCATCTTTGTAATGTAGGCTACAAAATCTGCTTCAAAATCCCAGCGCTGTCGTCATCGTGTAAAGCCCGCCCCAACGTTTCTGATTGGTGCCTCGATTTCGACGGATTGGAAATGGGTTTGAATGAGCTCTTTGCCAGACTCACTTTCAGAGCAAAATCTAAATTTGCCGGAAGTTGTCTGGGTTTTCCCAGGCTAGAGTTAAGGCCCATTCACACCAAGAACGATAACTATAACCATAACTATATTAGCGTCCACACCAACGGATGTTATTGTTCTGTTTATTATAAGTGCTCGCTGCAGTTTTGTTGACTGCCGCTTTAAATGCTCGAACTCTGCTAATCTTTCATATTTAGAATGGTTTTTAGAGCTATATCTTTATTGTTATTGTGATCGTTATCGTCCTTGGTGTGAACAGGCCTTTAAAATGGTTTCAGCGATACTCAGGAAACAATACAATCGTGATAACTGTATCCTTTTTAATAGCAGGAGTTAAAACAAATATAGACATACTGTAAATGTAAGAAGTAAAATTATTCTTTTTAATACGTAAATATTGAATCTAATAACATCTAATGAACCACCAACATCTCTATGATTTAGTACAGGTGGCAATGTCAATTCCAGTCATAATCATCTGCCTTCAGCAGGTCACAGCACAGCCAATATTAAATTCATAACCAAGGCCAACATTTACTTGACAAATGCTGTTATGTTCTCTTTCAGGCTTTATTACGAAAGCAGTCTGATGTTATGTCAATCAACAACAACTTACACTCCTTTATTCCTTGTTTTTTATGACGGCCATAAAATAGTTATGTAATATTTGAATTGTTCCTAAGGGTTTCTTAAGGACAACACCTTTATCGCGCTATGTTCATTGGTGCATCCATATCAGTGTATCTTATTTTCAATTGTGAACCGGTAAAAATAACATTTTTCTTGATGCCATAATTCTCATTCGGAATCCATGTCACGGTAAAGTGTTCCTCAGGTCAGGAGTTCATCCTGGTATCGTGACTGTACGGATCCCAAGTTAATGATTATTCATATTGCCTGTCACAGTGAACCTTCCAAAGGAAAATGAATGGCGACGCAATCAGGATCTCTATCTACTGACACAGGCTGTGAGCAAGCACAGAAACTTTTGAAAGCTCCATTGAAGTTAATGATCAAGAGGAAAATAGTACCTGAATGAATCATACCAATCTTTTCTGTAAAATTTAGGCCATTGTGCTTAACGTTGATTTTGATCTACCGAATCATTAACCTACTGCTAGAGATATTTACATCCATTACACTTCTAACAGCATTTCAGTCAGCCTGATTTTCTTTTGCATCCTTTAAAGTTTAAAACTGTTTTTCATTTAGATAATAAGGCAGTATGAATTCATGATTTTCATGATTTGTTATCACATTTTTTCTTTTGTTAAATCATCATAGATAATTGATGTGGTTCAGATAACATATTTTGAGTTTCTGCTGTTTAAACCAATCTCCATTGTATTAACTCAATTTTTTATTTTTATTTAAATGAACTCAAACGTTTAAGGCAACCAGGGTTACTTAATTTTTTTAAGTTAAACCAACACTTACTTATTTTACAGTAAAGTCACTGTTTTTGAGGGTTTCCCAAATGAGGTTTGAGAGATTAAAAGATATAACAACAATTTAGATGAAACAGGGGTTCAGTATAAAATCTGCTGATTGAGTGAACAAATGTTTGACATTCATTTTGTCTTCACATTGTCTTCAATGGTCAAAGGTAAGCAGAAATATGACAAACCACATCACTATCACAAACCACACCCAACTGACCTTTAGACTCTGAAATGTAGTAAGGCCAACTTTAATACTTTCTTTAGAAAAATTAAAAAAATAAAGTTCCGGATATTATTTGCCTTTGTCATAAATACAGCCCAAATAAACCGACAACAGCCCTTACCTTGACGAAAAGCGCAATTCCAGGCTGGTTCGGGTCGGGAACCTCAGTGGTCTCCTGCTGCACGCCGCTGTTCTCCACAGTCTTCAGGCTGTAGTCAACCACCTCCTCCGGTTCTGGAGATTCGTCTTCTGGGAGACTGTACGCCATGAGCAGGTCTTCGTTGACCAGTGAGGGCTGGTCATCACAAGGGTCTCCAATTCCCCCTAAAGATGAAGACCTTCCGGACCCGTATCCGTCTCCATTCTGCAGAGACGCCACCATCAGCTCGCTTTCGATCAGCTCTCCTCGTTCACTGGAGGGTGAAAGCTGAGCTTCTTCTTCTTCAGTTGAGTCTCTCGTGTTCATGTAGTCTGGAGAGGGTTGGTTGACCATGCTGTAGATCGGTTCCTCACGCGCGCCTTGATTCTCATATTTCGGCTCTGTGTTAGTACTCTTAATGTCAACATACGGCTTCTCGTATATGTTTTCGGTCCTCTCGTCGATTTGTTCATATATGTTTTCTTGAAGGTTCGTGGCCATGATTAAAGCTCGCCCAGAACTTTTGAGAAGTGCGAGGACGTCTGGAGAAATGGGAAAGTCGCTCACCTGTTGCAGCGGAAGATGACAGATCACTTATAAATGAACTTTGCTCGATGACTGTCATAAAATGTGAGCAGTAAATAAGTGACTCCCCGCTAGGTATTCATACTCTCTTGAGAAAAATTGCATAGCCTATTTGCTACATTTTTATTTAATTAATGTGTATACTTTAGCCCACAAATCATACTGGCAATATCATCCAGTACAGATTTTTTTTAAAAGTGTCGTGTGATATTAAAGAAAAATGTCATTTAATAAACCAAAAAGAATGTCTGAACCTCAAGGGTTGCTTTTCTTTTTCTAAGGTTTTGCTTTAAACTTCACCTTCAGCACGCATAACAGGCATGATATCAGCGTAATATCACACAAGTAATTCTCTGTTATGAGTCATTTCCGAGCGAAGTCCAGGGAATAAGCTTATGTTTAAACACAGATGCGTTCATCCTCCATGTTCTGTTTTTGGTTCAAGTACATGACAAAGCCAGTCTTACCTGTTTTAACGCAGTTTGCGTGTGTATTGTGTTTCATTCTCCCTGATTTTATTTATTTGCTAAACAACAAAACCAAAAGCCATCAACACATTCTTTGAACGTCTGGAAACGACCATTTCCACAAGCCTCTCCAAACATTAGGATTTACTACACATAGCAGCTTAGCTATATATTTATTATTTGATTAATTATTATTTGTTTTGCATAAAAATACAATTAAAACAATTGTCATAAAACACAACTTCAGAGGGAAATGCTCAATTATGATCACTAGGTGGCAGTGAGTGATCAGGAATAGAAAGAAAACTCTAACACTACAACAGTTTGTTATACCAATCCATCAGGTAAAATGATGTTAATTGCATTTTAAAGATGCTGGGATAATATTCAAGAGGCTTTTTTAAGTTATAAAATCAAATTTTATTAAATGTATACTCTATATGTATACTTTGACATTTGGATCATTTGAGTATTTTTAAATAGCCTACATTCAAATTTTTCATTTTGTATGTTTGGACATTGTTTATACCTTAATAAAATAAAAAAAATAAAAATTTTCAACAGGGAAATTCTGACAAAACCTCTGAACCCTCATGATTTACTATCCATATTACCTTTTTGCAGGGGGGTCTTTTGGCCATTAAAGGGATAGTTCACCCAAAAATGACAATTCTGTCATCCTTTACTCGCCCTCAAGTTGTTCCAACCCGGCATGAATTTCTTTCTTCTGCTGAACACACAAAAAATATATATTTTGAAGAATATGGGTAACCAAATAGTTGATGTAGTACCCTATGCCATCCATAGTATGAAAAAAAAAAAACTATGGAAGTCAATTGGGCACATCAACTGTTTGGTTACTGACATTCTTCAAAATATCTTATTTTGTGTTCAACTGAAGAAAGATATTCATTCAGGCTTTGGAACAACTTGAGGGTTCAAATGATGACAAAATGTTTATTTTTGGGTGAACTATTATGAAGGTAATATGATGCCATAAAGAATCGCATGCGCAGGGTAAGATTTGTGAAAGTGTACATAAGATTGCAAGCATGCAAGAGACGATTTGTAAAGGTGTAAATCGCCTTTCAAGTGTAAGAAAAACATATTTGCAGCATTTTACTGTTATTCGTAAGTGTAATGCATGTATTGTGAAACTGCAGCTTCATGCTTAGGCTACGCAAAATAAATATGATCTGTATTCTTCTGACTTCCATTTTTCCGTTACACTTTTGGCACGTTTGTTTCGCTCAAATACGGCAAAAAGCACTGCAAGCCTGTGAACAGCAATTTGCAACCGAAACAACAGAGTCAGAAACTCCGAACTGCAAAACAGATTGATCGCGTAAAATCAACCTTTGTGTAAAAAAATTAACTGTTGCAAATGTCTAAATGACTTGTGTACATGAGGCAAAAGAGTTCCCGAAATAACCCGATTTGTACAGTTGCGTCTTTTTTTTTTGCTGCGCTTGGCAGATTCTCTCACTCATTGAGTTTTGCAAGCGAAGAGGAGAGCGGGTCCACCTTCATCGTGTAGCCAAATCAAATGAGCTCGCTTTACTCTCGATTTACTCTTATCTGATTGGTTCAATAAACACTCCAGTCGCCAGAACAGAAAACATCTTGATCTTCATTTGGCACAGTATCGTTCTTGTTGCCGAAATTGAACTTTTAATGCACACATACATGTTACATAAATAAATAAATTATTAAACATTATTAAAGACTACTTTTTGTTAAAGTTGAGTTTATGTTGATTTGAAGAATCAGTTTTCCATTAGCTACAGTCAAATCTGGACACGGAGAAAGCATTTTGTTATTCATACGAGCTACAAATAATAGCTTGATCAGTCACACGAAAGTAATCAGAATCAATATTGACAGTGTGACTAAGACAATATTTCAAAATTTAGTGTTAAATACCATGAACAGAGACATGATGTGAAAAAACACTGCATCCAAATGGTATTATTACACAGCTATTAAAGAATGGGTATTGAATATTTTGATTGTAAAGTTTAACATCAGCTCAGTGGTGTAACAGATAAAATATATAAAATTTCAATCCAATAAGGTTAACACCAGCTCGAAATTCAGTATTAACTCATATAGTCAGCCTAATGGTGCCCAGCTTATTAAAAAAATCATGATTTATTTATTTATGTACTATTTCGGAAACGAGAATGATGCTGTGCCAAATGAAGATAAAGATGTGTTCTGGCGACTGGCGTGTTTATTGAACCAATCAGATAAGAGTAAATGGAGAGCAAAGCGAGAAGCTCATTTGATTGGCTACATGATGAAGGTGGACCCGCCCTCCTCTTCGCGCTTGCAAAACTCAATGAGTGAGAGAATCGTGTCAAAACTGTAAGCGCAGCTAAAAGAAGACGCAACTGTACAAATCGGGTTTTTTCGAGAACTTTTATGACTCATGCACACAAGAAGTCATTTAGACATTTGTTACACAAAGGTTGATTTTACGGCATCAATGACTTACGTATTTGTGCGAAACAAACGTGCCAAAAGTGTAAGCGCGAAAAAATGGGAGTCAGAAGAATACAGATCATATTTATTGTGAATTAAGCATGAAGCTGCAGTTTCACAATACATGCATTACACTTACGAACAACAGTAAAATGCTGCAAATATGTTTTTCTCACCCTTGAAAGGCGATTTACACCTTTACAAATCTTCTCTTGCTCATGCAAATTTTAATTAGGCCTACGCTTGCAAACTTATGTACACTTTCACAAATCTTACCTGGCTGCTCATGCGATTATTTATGGCATCATATTACCTTCATAATATCTTTAAATCCTGCATGCCATCAATATCCGCCAAGAAAGTAGTAACACATTGGATACCGTGTGAGTGTTTGAGAGTTGCAAATTCAGTTCTCTGGGAGTGGGTGTCTATTTAAAATCGCAGGTACCTTTTCTGTGATCATGCGAGAGAATTCTAATCTGTTTACTGTCTAGCCTATATTTGGTTTAGTTTGTTTCTGTGTAATTCGAGTGATGTGGCCACACAGGAAGTGCACAGTAAAGGTGCGGCTCATCCTCTCTCATGTCAGAAAACACAAAACACAGAAATATAGCCGTTGTGGGATGTCATGTGTCTCTGTGTGTTTGTGTGCAGGCACCATCTGCCTGCAAAAAAAAAGCATTAAAAGTGATTGAACCTTGTACAAAAGAAACCTCAGTCAAAAAAGATAAACCTAAACACTTTGATCTAGTTATAATGAGTTCATGACCACATAAGACAGACAGACAGACAGACAGACAGACAGACAGATAGATAGATAGATAGATAGATAGATAGATAGATAGATAGATAGATAGATAGATAGATAGATAGATAGATAGATAGATAGATAGATAGATAGATAGATAGATAGATAGATAGATAGATAGATAGTACAAATGCACTATCCAAACTCAAATGGTTGTAATTCAAGAATGCTTTTAATATAGACCTAAATTTGGTCTTGTTTTAAAGAAGACACTCAGATTATTGCTGAAGCACTTCAAAACAATTAAACTTATGGAAGTTTAAACTTACTGTAAATCAAATGCAATTACCATACTAAATATTTTTATTTTAAATAAATATATATATATATATTACAAAAGAAGAAAAAAGGTAGCCTACTATTAAATTACTATATAAAGCCATATATGTCTAACCAAGTTGTGTTCAAAATTTGAAGTTGACATCACAAAAATTGAAGTTCCTGTGAGATTTTGTTTAGGCGCTGTACCAAAGACACCGGGTTTCGCCCATTCCATTGAAAAAAAATGTGTAGGCCTATGCGTTTTCCTGTAACAAATTGATACATTTCTGTCCAAATATCACTTCTATCACACAGAATGGAACCTTGAGACTCATACTTTTCCGACGATAAGGGGTTTGTCAAGATTAGAAAAGGTTTTGCTTTTGATTGAAAAGTAGTTCAAATAAATGTTGTAATATGAAACCTGACACCGCCTACTAGGGGTAAAAAATTGAATGTAGGCCTACCATTTCCATGGTAACAAGACGTCCCATTTCAAAACGGTTTTCACATGATACATTTTGAGTAAGCTTTCCAATGATGTCTAATTCATGATGATTACAAAAATATGTGTAATGAAAAAGGCGATAAATAAAAAGAGCGCCAAGCGTCCTGCTAGCTGGATGACAGTTTAGGGGTTAATATAATTGGAAATAATGTAAAAACCACACGAAAGTACTATTATAGTTATTTTCATATTTATTTACCACATATTTACATTATACTTATATATACTATGGCACATGTTCAAAAACTTGGCAAAACATTCTGTGACATTTTCTAAACTGTGGTAGCCTATGTGTTTTCCACATGCTCGTGGTCACAAATCTCTGAATGAAGGATCTGAGCATGTACCATTGAGGTACCACTGAGTTATTTAGCCGGGGTTTTGTGCGACAGGTACATTTTTCTCCTTAGTAATCACCCCAGCAACAACTAACAGCTCCGCGCCGGCCAATGAGCTTGTGCAGCCGCCTCTGTCCTCACTTCCTCCGGCTGCGCTCG